GGACCCCTGAACTGTTTTACTTAGTTTTGTTCATAGAATCGGCCTGTTCAGGGTTGGCAGCTAATTATGAGACACCCTTATAACCTTATATCCTTATAACTTATATTATTACAAAATATGAACTTACTGTAATCGTACAGTTAAATTTCTTCACTGAAATAAATCTTTTTTTGACGGAATAAAATGTACTTAAGTTTATACTCGTATCTGGCATATAACATACGATGCACGTAAGAGGAAGAATTACAATTCTGTAGAAATTAATGACTATGAAGAATCGTAAAAAGGAAAATTAAATTTTACAGTTTTTTAATGAGATTCAAGAAAAGAAGCTACGCATCCACCAAAGCTTTACATTTTAATTACAATCCCAATTTTCCGAGTTATGAATAGTGTGCAATATTACCGTCTAACAATTTCTAACTATCCATGCCGATACTGCTTTAGAAACTCCGTTTTCCAGCGGTGAAATCGCGAATAGTTCGCGGTTATCCTGCATAAAATAGGTTTCCCATATAAGCGTAGGTAGAACATGAATAAATTGCGCGTGAATGCATTCCGTTGTACGACAAAAGTATGTTACTGTGTTTACCGAAGTGGGTTATCTGCGGTCGTACCGGCCATTAAAATCTTCTGCCAAGTTGTCGGCCTCGGACGTCCGTGATTTTCCCCTTTGTTGACGAAGAGTGTTACCTCGCACGAGTTTAGGACTGGCTCTAAAAGCCCCTTGATTATCTTAAAATGAGGTTTCTCATAATCCCTTTATGGGAGGACTTTCCTTGGCATTAGCGCCACGTTCAGTCTTATTAAATCTTGTATAATTGAATATTTAGCCACATTAATCCTGAAAAATAGGTTGGCTTAAGGTTGTTACTGTGTAAATGGAGAAAAAAAGTGTATGGAAATACCTGAGCGAATGGAAGTATTTTCAGGAAAATATATCAAAAACCTAGAACGTATTTATTATATGTATTTGTTTACTGTTTTTTTTTGCTATTATATAATTTATAATTTATTAGCGCTATAAATTACTCATTCTTTATTAGTATTACACTGTAACTGTTTAGATATCCTATTTATCTAAGTACCTGTAGACATGTGATACATCAAATAATAAACTGAATGTGTAGATAATAATTAGCATTTTTCCAACTATGTTTAGACCAATTCTAAACATAGAAGTTCAAAATCTTGCATGTCAAATTACTAGTCAAAAGTAATAACTGTCTAATTTTAATATATAATATATTTATATAATAATTTTAGAATGTAACTAAAAATGGTATTATTGGATGAAAATTAGAGCCGCCAAAAATCATCAAACTTGGTCAATAAATTGAAACTACATATTACCAATATAATTTGACCTAATGTCAAAATAAGTAATTTATGTGTTAATAGTAAAGCTGAATAAATGTTAGCAACCTTGGAAACCGCACAAAATTCTCTTCGGAAAATTATACACGAAGTACAGCTTACGCCTGATGAACTTTATCGCCCATTTAGTTACAGTCTGCGTGCATGAAATATAGGTTTCAGTGTTTATATCAAGCTTAGTACGGAAACTGAAATTTATACATAGTATGGCAGATTTTAAAGTCTAAAAGATGATAAATAAAAACTATGTTCAATATCGTGGAAACAGTATCGTTGTTATTTATCAGCTGTCGAACCAGCATAAAGAATTGTTTTAAGGCAGCGTCTTATCGATAAGTAAGGAATAAGCCTAATTCCTTTTTACTTATAGTTACTAGAAAACTAAAAATAATGGAAATTAAAAAAAAATAACAAAGTATGATCGTTTGGTATCAAATATTGCTCTTACTTTATTTGAAAAGCATAATTGAATAAATTTAGAATTTTTTTTTAATTATGTCAAATGAGGCCAAGCAATGATACTTGAAAAACTCATACCTGACATTTTTTTGAAAGGTTCTATTATTTAATGATTTAATTATGTTATTGGTACAGTAGTACTGTTCAATACTAGTTAGATATCTTTAACATACCTATATTTTTGGTATCGAAGAACAATAACCAGAATTGGAATATACAGGGTGTTTCTAAAGGGTCTGTATAATGCTCCACCAGATATAATACGGCTTAAAAGGAGAAAAGTTGGGAAAAAAGATTTTTCAAGACCAAACTGAAATACACCGTGGCACAGAAAATTAAATGCGTCCTAATGGTCGCTTGTGGCGGCCTATAGAAGATTCAACGAAATTCGAATTTCTCATCCCAGAAAACACCCGGATACGAAATTTCAAGAAATTAGCTCAAAGTAGTCGAAATATATTATAGAAAATGTTATTTATTTTTTCAAATTTAATACCCTGTAGCTTTTTATCAATTTTTGGACTTGCTATTTAACTAAACAGTTAAATCGACTTATTTTCAAACGGACTATATCTGGTGGAGCGTTGTACAGACCCTTTAGAGATACCTTGTATAACTATTTTTCGTCTGGTTTAATTCTAATTAATAAATGGCAGGTGAAAAGGACGACGTGATAGCATGCGGTTATCTCGTCGTTCATGTTATGATTATTTTGTATTTCATTCGTAGCTGAATAGAGAACGACGTAAATTCATTTGCATGCGCTGAATAGTCACATCTGCATTTGTTGTCCTTAGCTTATGACTGTGACATGTCCACGATAACGTACAATCGGGTAATAATAGAGCCATTGATAAATAATATTAAAAGCGAACAACAATGACTTTTGCAATGCCGTCCTAGACAATATTGCACACACACACACACACCACCGAGTTGTATTTTATATGCAAGTGGGATAAACCAGTTGGTTATAATGTTTATTATGTATTCTTACGAAATAATATCGTAATCTACCTCGTATTCAAACGATTTAAATTCCTTTGTATGGAGCCGTTATCCTTGACACTGTGGCAGAAACGTAGGCACAACTAGCGCGGTTCATTTCAGCGACTAATTTAACTTCGTTTCATTCATGATTTTTGAAGATCCAGCTAGATATAGTTTCGCTTATGCATTCCATGTAATATTTGGTTAGGAGCCACGAGAGCTATTTGGAGTTTGCGAAATTTAAAGTTGTTACTGAAACCGAAACCTGTTACAGTGGAAAATCCTCCTCTTTATTGATATCGATTGAAGGCCGTCTTGTTCCACGAAGATATCCTACGGACCAAAAGCATTCGCGTCTGGTGAAACAAGTTCCTTATTTTGAATTGCAATGTTCTTAATCATTGGTAAATATAAACGTATGGTAATAAATTTTAAAAATAGTGTTTAATAAAAGACGTTTTACATTCTTATTGAAATTATGTAAAGACGTAACAGGATCTTTGGTATATTTAAAGTTTCCTACAGAGGTAATAGTCGTTGGTATATTCAAATAGTATAATTCCATCATACACCTAAAAAAAAATAACGTGATACCTATAACAGGTATTTTAAGGTTACACCATTGAATTGCTCTTTCGTCCACAAAATTACCTTCACTCATGTCAAAGCACAATTGAAGGTATTGATGAGGTTTATTCTAAAGGAAAATTATAAAGTTGAACCTTTTTTGTTCTAACCGTGACTAAATTTGTTTGTGGAATGGTTTATGACGACTTATATTATAGTCCAGTCGTTAGAGGCCGAAATGTTACTGTTGGTGACATTTTCTTGATAACTCGGAAATAACTACACAGGAATACTTTAAATGATGAGTACAGTAACAGGCTAATTTGCTGACAAAGTATTTTATCAGGAAAAAGTCATCAACAATTTAATCGTGAAAAAATTTTTTTTAGTAGTTTTCTTTCAATAACTTAGCGGGATGACTTTGTACGAAAAAATGCTTAGGACATCATTTTGTTCGTAACAAAAATAGCTACAAAATGGCGGTGGTCCGTGAGCCGTGAGATTGAAAAAACGGTATAAAACGTCAATTTTTTAAAGTTGCTGTAAAAATGTCAATTATAAACAAAAAGTGATAAAACTTTCGAAAACTATAGTTCAATATATATACAATAATGACGCTAAAGCGGAAAATCAGGAGAGCAAAACTTTTGTCATTATTGTATATATATTGAACTATAGTTTTCGAAAGTTTTATCATTTTTTGTTTATAATTGACATTTTTACAGCAACTTTAAAAAATTGACGTTTTATACCGTTTTTTCAATCTCACGGCTTTGTTATTGCAAATTTGTACACCGCCATTTTGTAGCTATTTTTATTACGAACAAAATCGTGTCCTAAGCATTTTTTCGTACAAAGTCATCCCTCCGAGTTATTTAAAGAAAACTACTAAAAAAATATTTTTTTACGATTAAATTGTTAATACCTAACTTTTTTTCCTGATAAAATACTTTGTCAGCAAATTAGCATGTTATTGTACTCACCATTTAAAGTAGGTCTGTGTAGTTATTTCCGGGTTATCAAGGTTTGACACAGGCCGAACCTCTACCAACTGGACTATTAATAATTTTCATTATGTTTTAATAAATCAAACTTTTTATGAAACAAAACATCTATTTGAATATTCGAAAAAGTATATAAATTTGACTTATCATAAGACTCAGATACCTCAAAAGTAGTCGTTAAATACAAATTCTCGAAATATGTATATGAAAGTTCATATAATTGAAAAATGGATGGCTTTCATTTAGAAATCAGTATAACCATAAATATATTTTTGATTTATGTCTGTTGAGATATACATTTTTTGTTGTATTCGAAATGTAACAATAATGACATATTAAGAGGATATTGTTTACCTTGTTTGTTCTGTTTGTTTTTTAATTGTTACATTGATATCATTGACTTTTAATAAATAACTAATAACATATACTGCTTTCATTTTGCCGTCACTAGGGAAATGTGCGTATCGATTAGCTTCGTCACTATGGAAATAATAGAAGAATATTGATTTGCACACAAACAGTAGTAGTGAAATAATCGTCGGGCCAACCACATCTTGTCTCTTGACATTTCTTTACGTCTTTTACAATTTTATACGTCAGTTTCATAAAAACATGTTAAATTTTAATCTTATGACGGAAAAAGACCGGCGTGAAGCTGCCGCTATAGAAAAGCGCAGACTGTTCGAGGAGGAAAGGAAGAAGAGAATATTCAATCCCCGCAACAGACTTATCGGAGTTGACACTGAAGTTTTACAAAAACAGATCGTAGAAAAACAACAAAGGGAGTCGGAAGAAAAGAAACTCGTTGAATTATTTCAGGAACACTTGAAGAAATCAGATGAAATTGCAGTGGCTTTAGATCGCAAAGAAAAAGAAGAACGTGCTAAAATACAAATCGAAGTAGACAACTACCGGAAGAATTACCAGCGACCGGAAGACAGGCGAGAATTCGACTTAAATGACCCGAATTATATTAAAAAGCAACTTCCTGCAAGACTCCACGATGACGATCCTAGGCTTGGTTTGTCATCAGCTCAGAAATTCGAGGGTGAGGATAAACAGGGTGAGGAACGTGCGAAGATACAACGCGATGAGTTCAGGGCTTGGCTAGACCAACAAGTTATGGAAAAAATCACGACCGACAAAGAGCGAAAGGCCGCAGAAGATGCTTATAAAGCTGCGGTAGTAGCCCGCGATCAAAGAGCTATGGAACTAGATAGGTTGGAGAAGGAATGCAGAAAGAAACTCCATCTCTCTTGTTTGATGTTCAATCAGGCATTAGCCGAAGAGAAGGCATGCGAAAAGATGAAAAGGAAAAGTGAAAATCTTCAAGACGATATGGCTGAGATTTATAACTGCCTCACCAGTGACTTATTGACGGAAAACCCAGAAGTAGCCCAAAGTAACTTAGGAGCAGGAAGGACGATAGCGTCCCTGTGCAAAGGCATGACCGCAGAACAAATGAAGAAACTGAAGGAAGACCAGTTGGCGCAAATTGTCGAGCAGAAGAAGAGAAAAGAGCTGGAAGCTCGCATGAACAGGGAAATGGACGATTACATAAATGGAATGCAGAGGACGATTTACCTTGTGGATCGCGAATTGGAAATAAAGCAAATTGAAAGAAATAAGCAGATCGCTGAAGAAAATAAACGCTTGGCTGACGAACAAAAGAACCATAAGAAATATTTAGAAAAAGTAGTGTATTCTAACGTGCCCACAGATGACTTTTATGATCAGTTTAATAAATCTTCCAGATAAGTGGTCAGTGCCTTGTGCTTACTACAGATACATTCTTTTTCCTGCGCACTGTACAAAATCAACTCAGAACCCTTAAATAAAAAGTTCACAAATGATTTTTAGCTACTGAGTGAGTAAGATTTTTGTTTCTAGTTATTTAAAATCCTTAAAATCTAATTATTTACTGTTAGGCCAAGCAAATAAGATTTTTACTCGAAAAAAGTCCTATCTGCGATATTATTGTAAAATTGTCTAAAGGAACATAATACAAGACATCTCTCATCTCGTGAGTCAAAAACTTTTATTAGCTAACTTTTCTATTTAAACAAATAAGTTTTTTCACTTTGCAGGGAAAACCATCAATTTTAGCGAAAAGTGACTCACAGACAGCTTATAGGGAGTAAAATTATCTACAAAATGAGACTTGTTAAATTAAAATCGGTTAATAAACAAAAACGTTATTGCAAAAAAACAAGAAAAGTGCCCATTTTTTAATTTGTTTATAACTAACGCATTTATTGTTAAAATTTTATAAAGCCTATGACAAGTTGAGGGTTTTGTCATCCTTCAAAAGTGGGCCAAAAGTGGGCGCTGTAGGTGCAATAGTTTTCGCACAATTCTATTTGTTTATCACGGAGGCTCCAAAAGTTATGCCTTCGTACAGGCGTTAATGATTCTGAAAGCGTCATTGTAATCTTAAAGCGACCTATTAAAAAACATCACCGTTTTTTTTTGACATTAACATTCTCAAATTGTGCATTAAAAAAACGTGCGTTTTTCGCTTATAAACAATTTGAATAAAATTGTTGCTATTTATGCTACCTCACCGAAAATAGATACAATGGATAGCTGGCAAAAAATACAAATTTTTATAAAAAAAGCACCCTCTACGACCAACAGAAGCCAAGAATTTTTTTTTAAAATCGAAAATAGTTTAGTTACAAAAATGTCTGGTTAAAAAATACCTGATACAATATATCAAGCTGTCGTGAAGGATTTACTTTGAAAGGCAGCTGTAGAAAATAAATTCGAGCCATGTTTTTGCGGGAATACGTATTTACGCATATATCACCTTTCTCGACGTCTGGGATGTTGCCTGATTTGATAGCTTTAAAATTAGCCCACTTCTTCTCTAATATTCTATAATCTATACGGTTCACCTTGAACAACTTTAACCATCACTAAATATTTCATGTTTTCGTCCGAAAATAGTTCTAGTACGTAAATTGTTCGTCGAGTTATGAAAACTTTGTTACACAATTCAGTGCAAAAACGTGATGCTTATTTAATTGTTTAAAACGATCTAATTTGTTCGCCCAGCAGTAAATTGCAACACAATAGGGTACTTTCATTCCATTTAATTAAACATTTATAATAATGTTGAGTGCCACAGCCATACTTCGCTAAATTTTGGTGGAATGGAATCTTTTCGCCTCCGTTGAGTCGTTTTTATTTAAAAAAGTACATCGTTAATTTAATTTCACACTAAAGTTGGCAATTATGCGTTAAAATCATTTTTAGATAATGTAATTTAAATACAACTGACACGGAAGTAATTCAAACTATTTTAAAATTAAAAACTTTGAATGCACACATAATCGTTTATACGTTTTTGTATTATATAGAGGAAAGTAATACCTTATTACTTTTTTAAATACATATTAAGAATTCCGAGTCGTTTTTACTTTCAGGATAATAATACCACAAATATAAACATTTCACTCGTCAAATAAGTAAAATACATTTTTTTACCAATTCGAAACAGTTTGAAGATATTTATGGAAGTTGATTTTAAGTTAAATGCATGTAAGAAGAACGCTTGTTGTCGTTTCTTAATATCAACAGTTACTGAAAAATAACATTTTTATAACGTTCGTGTACCATCTCATATATTTCAGTAAGGGTAAATATTATTAAGAGTCTAATTATAAAATATCTCGCTGAAACATGCTTGTTTATATTTCTCAGTTTCATCTATATTTTATATTATACAGGTAAATTTAATCGCTCTGAACCAAAAGGGAATTTGAAATTTCAAAACGTGTTTGTGTTCTTTTTACTAATTTATTGTTAATGTGGCCACATTACATAGTATAACAAATTTATTGTAGGCATGTGCAACAAATGTATACAAAAATATTTATTTAAATATAAATATACTCTTTTGATTTTGTAACTATTGCGAAAATAATATCCATGAAGGGCAATTTTTGACACTCGTTAAAGGTTGATGGCGACTTAGATTGTTTATATACAATTTATTTCGTACACGTACTTAACAAAAAATATATATACAGGGTGATTCAAAAAAACGCTGACAGACTTCTAGGGTAGATAATACATAAAAAATTAAGACGAAAAGTTTTAATAAACATAGGGTCGCAATTGCCTCCTTAACGAGATACAGGCGTCAAAGTTTCTGTAAAATTAAATATTGTCTGCAATAATTCCAAAATGCCTGAACATTTCTATTTCAAATTTGCTGTGCGTAGTTAGCACCTCAAGATCAATGTTTGATGTACTGCTCAAAATTTTATGAGCAGCAGTGTCGTAGAGACGGGGTGAACGTGACCTTTTTTTAAAAATATTTTCTACGCCACTGCTAATTTTGTCAAACGGGCACTATTTTTGTGTAAAGTGTTCAATTGTCTATCGAATTGGTCACTTGCAAAATTTGGATTAAAGCAACCATTTTTAAGAGAAACACCTTTGTAGAAAATTTGTAAATCCAATTTTATTTTCATTCATTTTAGTTTCGCATAGTAGGCTTGTGCTATTCAAAATAAAATTAAACATCGCCTGTCACTAATGTCAATGTGTACAAGTGAGTTAAGTAAACTAGATTATAAGCTTCTTTTGTCATTTTTACGCTTTAATTTTACAGAAACTTTAACGCCGTGTATCTCGTTAAGGAGGCATTTGCGACCCTATGTTTATTAAGACTTTTCGTCTTAATTTTTCAGGTATTACTTACCTTAGAAGTCTGTCAGCGGTTTTTTGAATCACCCTGTATATATATTTTTTTTAATAAAAGAACACTAATAAAACTAAGTTACAGTATATTGTTCTATTACGTTGTGTCTGAAAATATTTTAATTTCATTTCCCTGATTCATTCTAAGTAAATAAAACGTTGGGGGAGATAAAAAGAAAATAGTTTTTCAGTGTATATTTTAAAAGGGTACTCATGGTATTGTGAGGTATTTTAAAACTTTTTCAGGGCAAAAAATAGCGGGGCTGTTTTGCATACCCTGGAATTTAATCTTTTTTATCCTACTCAAGCTGGCGGCCTGAGCGAAATTAATAACAAGGGGAAAAATAATTTCCGATGAAAAATTAATCGCGGCCTTAGCGGGAGCGTGATGCATAAATGATATTTGCAAGGGAACAATAGTGACTAGGACAATCAACGGAGGCCGTATATTACACTCGGCTGAGGGAGGAGTTTCTCGCAGTGACATTGAACTTAAAATGTCACGAATTCTGCTGATGATGGTGCTGAAACTGAATTACAACGCGCGATATACTCGGATTAGTATTACAGGAATCTTCGTATCACCTTTCGTCTTACACGTAAATTGTATTCCTCTGACGAGGATATTTTCAAGAGGTAACAGCAAATTGATAGTCTATTAGGAACACTCCAAGTAGTTCGAGTACATAGACAGGAATATGACGCTGTTATAAGCACGCTCACACAAATTATTGTACCCTAATCCTACTCTTCTGTAACACATTCAGTCCACCTGTTCAGAGACTTGCGGATGCTCTTTATAAAAAATAAATTTTGTCATGACTTTATCCAATTATTCACTGCCCGTGTCGTAGTACAAATAAAAAATCAAAATTCATAAATCCGTTATTACAAAAAAAGGTAATGGTGAAAACTTGAAGGTTGCGATACCATCGTAAACAGTTCATGGAAAACGTTAATGTCCCACAAAAACGTCCTGTCCCATATTGCTGCGCACTAGACATATTACATACTTATAGAAATTATTAAATATTGTACTTTACGAACTTGACACTATCAAACTCTTTCTTTGGACCTTTCAAAGAACATTTACAGACCCGGAAGTTTGCAGATGATAATTGCGACAACGTGACTCCACCTAATTACCTTTTATTATAATAATACTATGGATTTGTTGAAAATTGCATTTAGTGGATTTAGTTCAATAATTTATAAAATTATTGTCTAAGAAAAATTTTACGTCTAAAAGCCAACCTATCATTCAAAAACTATGCCCTTGTCGCAAAGCCAATACAGGCTATTACAAATTCGCTTCTCACTACAGGGATCTCGGAAACGGTAAGAGGTACGAAGTAGCTTAATTGGGGGCAAAGTTGGGTAATCAGCCGACCAACATTATGCCTCTAAAAAATCAAGGCTAACGTAATTAGTTTTCAAAATATTTGAAAAAAACCCGAAATTTTGTAAATCCGTTCTTGTTTAATTTCGGCTTTATTTGAGGAGATATTGAAAAAAGAAGAACAGTTTCTCATGGCCACTTTTTGCTCTCTATGGAATGGTATAATCAATTTTTATATGTAACGTTTCGTCTCTTCAGGACCATCATCAACTTAATTTTTTTAAATACGACCCTGGAAATTTTATTACATTTTTTGCATCATGATCCCCAATACTGTACTGCCTCAGCCTTACCCAGATTCAGACGTTTTGTCTCGAAAAATTCATCTTCAGTGTATTCGTTCCAAATTTATCTAAATTTTTTATTTAGATTTCTTTGTTTATTGAATTATCGTATACTGTAAGTGCCGTTAGACCCTGTGAAATCCATCTAGTTATTTAAACTATTACCACCACGGATTAAAATAAAACATTATTAGAGTTTTATTCCTGTGNATCCGTTATTACAAAAAAAGGTAATGGTGAAAACTTGAAGGTTGAGATACCATCGTAAAAAGTTCATGGAAAACGTTAATGTCCCACAAAAACGTTGAAAATTGTGTATTTAAGGGATTTAGTTCAATAATTTATAAAATTACTGCCTAAGAAAA